TTGGTCTACATTAAGGTCCAAAGGGTCCAAAATTAAACTTAGTTTGATTTTAACAAAAATTGAATTTTAGGGGTTCTTTGATATGCTGAATCTAAACATGTGTTTAGATTTTTGATTATGGGACCAGTTTTCAAGTTGGTCCAAGTTGGGTCCAAAATTAAACTTTGTTTGATTTCAACAAAAATTGAATATATGGGGTTCTTTGATATGCTGAATCTAAACATGTATTCAGATTTTAGATTTTTGGCCCAGTTTTCAAGTTGGTCCAAATTGGGGTCCAAAATTAAACTTTGTTTGATTTCATCAAAAATTGAATATATGGGGTTCTTTGATATGCTGAATCTTACCATCTATTTAGATTTTTTATTTGTGGGCCCGCTATCAAATTGGTTCATATTGAGGTCAAAAGGGTCCAAAATTAAACTTTGTTTGATTTCATCAAAAATTTAATTATTGGGGTTCTTTGATATGCCAAATCTAACCGTGTTTTTAGATTTTTAATTTTGGGTCCCGTTTTTTAAATTTGTCTACATTAAGGTCCAAAGGGTCCAAAATTAAACTTAGTTTGATTTTAACAAAAATTGAATTCTTCGGGTACTTTGATATGCTGAATCTAAACATGTGTTTAGATTTTTGATTATGGGACCAGTTTTCAAGTTTGTCCAAGTTGGGGTCCAAAATTAAACTTTGTTTGATTTCAACAAAAATTGAATATATGGGGTTCTTTGATATGCTGAATCTAACTATGTATTTTGATTTTGGACATTGGACCATAATAGGTAAATTAAAAAAATTGAAGTTCTTAGACCACATTCTTTCTGTGTCAGAAACCTATGCTGTGTCAAATATTTAATCACAATCCAAATTCAGAGCTGTATCAAGCTTGAATGTTGTGTCCATATTTGCCCCAACTGTTCAGGGTTCGACCTCTGCGGTCGTATCAAGCTGCGCCCAGCGAAGCATTTTATTGGCTTATATCTCCAAAACTAAAGCTTTTAGAGCAAATCTGACACGAGTAAATTTTATTCAATTAGTCAAGATCTATCAGCCCTGATATTTTCAGACAAATCGAACAACCCATTGTTGGGTTGCTGCCACTAAATTGGTAGTTTTGAGGAAATTTTGCAGTTTTTTGTTATTATCTTGAATATTATTATAGATAGATATAAACTGTAAACAGCAATAATGTTCAGCAAAGTAAGATCTACAGAAAAATTAAATGACCAAATTTGTCAATTGACCCCTTAAGGAGTAATTGCCCTTTAAATACAATTTTACGCAATGTGTTCATCAAGTTTGCTAACATTTAAAAATCTTCTCTTCTGAAACTATTGTGCCTAATACTTCTTAACTTTGAATGAATGTTCCTTTAGGAATCTAGTTTATGCATTGTATCCGAAATTTTGATCCATCAACAAACATGGCCGCCATGGCTAAAAATAGAACATAGGGGTGAAATGCAGTTTTTGGCTTATATCTCAGAAACTAAAGCATTTAGAGCAAATCTGACATGGGGTGAAAATGTTCCAAAGGTCAAGATCTATCAGCCCTGAAATTTTCAGACACACCGAACAACCCATCACTGTTGGGTTGCTGCCACTAAATTTGTTGTTTTAAGGAAATTTTGCAGTTTTTGGTTATTATCTTGAATATTATTGAAGATAAAGATAAACTGTAAACAGCAAAAATGTTCAGCAAAGTAAGATCTACAAAAAAGTTTTATATGACCAAAATGGTCAATTGACCCCTTTAGGAGTTATTGCCCTTTAAGGACAATTTTACACAAGTTGTTTTATGTTTTTTAACTTTAAAAATCTTCTCAAATGAATCTAGTATAAATTTTGTACTTCATTTCCTTGTACGTCAAGAAACATAGACACTATGGCTAAAATGGAACATATGGGTAAAAAGCAAAAATAATCATTGATGAAAGATTTAAGCAAAAATGATAACAGGTGAGCGATTCAGGCTCTTGAGAGCCTCTTGTTATTATCTTGTTTTTATTTTCCAGTTTTATATTTATAGGTATTTCAGTGTATAAATGTATATATGTGCATTTATAGATTAAGCATTGCTTTGACATGAACCATTTAAAGGTCCATTTAAAAAGTAGATACATTTCTTATCGAAGTCAAAATGATTAAGCCATGTAGTATTGTAAAGTAGAACAACATAAAGTCAAAATGATTAAGCCATGTTGTATTGTAAAGTGCAACAACATAAAGTCAAAATGATTAAGCCATGTTGTATTGTAAAGTGGAACAAGATAAAGTCAAAATGATTAAGCCATGTAGTATTGTAAAGTAGAACAACATAAAGTCAAAATGATTAAGCCATGTTGTATTGTAAAGTGGAACAACATAAAGTCAAAATGATTAAGCCATGTAGTATTGTAAAGTAGAACAACATAAAGTCAAAATGATTAAGCCATGTTGTATTGTAAAGTGCAACAACATAAAGTCAAAATGATTAAGCCATGTTGTATTGTAAAGTGGAACAAGATAAAGTCAAAATGATTAAGCCATGTAGTATTGTAAAGTGCAACAACATAAAGTCAAAATGATTAAGCCATGTTGTATTGTAAAGTGCAACAACATAAAGTCAAAATGATTAAGCCATGTAGTATTGTAAAGTGGAACACATAAAGTCAAAATGATTAAGCCTGTAAAGTGGAACAACATAAAGTCAAAATGATTAAGCCATGTTGTATTGTAAAGTGGAACAAGATAAAGTCAAAATGATTAAGCCATGTTGTATTGTAAAGTGGAACACATAAAGTCAAAATGATTAAGCCATGTTGTATTGTAAAGTGGAACAAGATAAAGTCAAAATGATTAAGCCATGTTGTATTGTAAAGTGGAACAACATAAAGTCAAAATGATTAAGCCATGTTGTATTGTAAAGTGGAACAACATAAAGCAAAGAATAAGTTTAGATCAAATGGACATACTGGTATAGACAAATTTCACATTCGTGCACATCTGTGTAACTTATTCATAAATAATAACTCTAAATTGGTCTAGACTCTATCTCAATAATGTATCTCTGTTAATTCATATAAACCAATTCAGTGTTAATGATGGGAATTCTTCATCTAATTCAAATCTTTCCCTACTTTTGTAATTTGATTTGAATTTGCTGAAGTTGTCACACTCTTACTGGATCGTTTTTTGTAAATATTTAATGAGGCAACTGGGCATACTTTGTACATTATAAGCTTTTTTATAATTTTAAAGTAAAGTTTAAAATTATAAATTTGGATTATTAAAGAACAAAAATATTATCTGTAGATAAACTGATCATAGATACCAGGCTTAAAATTTTGTACACCAGACATGCGTTTCATCTACAAAAGACTCATCAGTGACACTCGAATAAAAATAATTAAGGCCAAATAAAGTACGAAGATGAAGAGCATTCATTGAAGACCCAAAATTTTGAAAGGTTTTTCCAAATACAGCTAAGGTAATCTAATCATAGGGTAGAAAATCCTTAGTATTTGATAATATTCAAAGTGTTGTAAACAGTTAATTTATAAATTGACCATATCAATGATTATGTAGAGGAGATTTACACATAAAAGCCTAAAAAAAAAGATATTTAAACTGTATGGAAATGTCTGCCCAAAAAAAAAGGGAATATCTCATTTCTTTTTTTATAAAAGATGGGATATATGCCAGTAATATAACCAGAATTTGTGTTGTTCAGTAGATTGCACTACTTATACTCCAGTCACTTTATTAGTACTTTGTCTTGTTAGTGTACAGTTCTTGTAACATAGACAAAACCGAAAAAAATGCCTGATTTCTTTTATGTAACACAGAGCATAATTTGTTTTAAAAAATGAAGAAAACTAAATAAAATATGATGTGGTTGATTAATGAATACATGTTTCCATGATCATTAATAATATTCAAGAACTTAGTTTAGAGAACAATCTCATGGAAAATTACCTTGTATTTATTCTTGGAAAACTATTTGAAAGAAGAATTTATATTTGAAGTTTCTGAAAGGTGTTAGGGATATTCCAGGAAAATCTGTATGGGAGGGTTGGACACCATGATATTTTTTTCTGTGGGTAGTGGGTAGTTTTTTTACAGAGAGATATTGCTAATTTCAACAAAAGTTGTGGATGGTGGGTATAAGAAAAGTGTTGTCCAACATCCCCATACACTTTTTCTTTGAAAAGCCCTTACAAAATGAGCTGAACAGCTCCCACCTAATAGAAAAATCAAGATTCTAGCATAAATGAAATTCTATGATGTTATTTTATAACGTTGTTTCAACCATTTAATTAGTTCAGTGAATTGCACATATCTGTATGTTTTTTATTGGACGTGTCTGCATGTTCATTTACCTTTTGATTTTCTCCAAGATATTTGTTTAAGCCACTTTCCATTTGACAAAATTAATGATTTTTTTCATCTTTATACATATAATTGTTTAACCTGTTACAGATATATGGAATACTTGATAAGGTAGAAAAAACCTCTTTTATCTGAAACAAAAGTTCTCCTTGCACAACTGCAATTGCAAAATAGCTTCAAGCCCCTTTCTTGCAAACCCTTCCCAGAAAGATGCACGCTCTGTCCTGAAATGGATAAAAGTATTTTGTTTCTATCAAATAAAACATTATCTCTCTAAAGTATAACCCTCAATGAATAGTGCATTTTGTTGTTATTGGCCAATGCTGTTTATGACAGAATGTGCAGCTATTCACTAATCTTTACCAACCTTTTATTGAAGTCTTTCTCAACGTTTAAATTTTCTTCTGATTTGCACGCATGGAGAAATTATATAGTATTTATAATAATTAGACTTGAAATTTTAAAATTGATGCTAAAATTTGGTAAAAATAACCTATACTATACAGTGACATTATTTATCATTACTCAATAATTGATAACTTTTAGTTTTAATGACCATAGTGTTGAAATTGTTATTTTGTATTCTCTTTGCCAACAAAGTCACACTAAAGTTATGCAAATCATTTATTTTAGGGAAGAAGTATAATGTCACATGATTATGTATTCTGGTGTGGAGATTTTAACTACAGGATTGATCTTCCCAATGATGACGTCAAGAAGTTAATACAGGACGAGAACTGGTCAGCATTACGAGAATGTGATCAACTATTTCTTCAGAAAGATGAAGGAAAAGTAAGGATTTGGTTTATGTTTTTTGTGGAAAAACAAATTATGGAATGGAGAAAACAGATTTTAGGGCTTATTTGGCCTCATGAATTTGTGGAAATTTTTTATTTTAGGGGACAAGAGAAGAGAAGAGTTGTGTTTAATGGGCTACTTAAATTGAACAAATCTAAGCAGGAATACAAGTTTACCCTACATTCATATAACTCCACCGTAAACATAGATTTTACATGGAACCTTATGGGAGGGTTAGAATGGGTTACCCCACATGAAGAATGATGGTAAAATATTTGTTAGAATAACGTTAACCATAAACATTTTACTCCAGAATGACAATAAAATATTAAGGCTCATTTGACACTAACGGTAGCGAAAAACAGACGTCTGACGCTTGACAATAAAGGGCATTCCTACCCTCTTATGGGATTGCAATCTCTAAGAATTAAATAGGCTTGAATCAGTCGAAGGTGGTCTATTTCCAAAATTTTATCTGATAACATAGCCTGTAATTTCATAAGATACTGCTATTTTAAATGAATCAATGTAATTTATAGATTACATATTGGGATAGAAACTTGTGCAACCTGAGGTTTATAATTACTTTATAAACTCATTTTTCACCATTTTTAAGATGACATCATGTAATGGTAGGACCTATTTACTCACAAACAAGTGAAAGTCAGAAGAACTTTTATATAAAGTTTGTGAGTAAATTTGTCCAATTTACACATAAAACTCCAAAAAAAATGTGTTTCATCCTATAAAAATTAACCAGGTTAAAAAAATTCTTTTACTTTCTTTTTTTTCAACATCAGTTTATTGTAAAAAGTGTTTTAGTTTGTCCTGAGCGTATATAATTGAGAAATCATTAGAGATGAGCCACCAACATCAAATTCATCAAATACTGTAAATTCAGAAATTATTGCGTGCATTTATTATTGCGATTTTGTCATTTTGGACTAAAATGCGATTTTAATTTTTGCGATATTGAGAAAAATCCTGTTTAATTCATATAAAGAATTTCAAAATGCGAGTTTAAATTATTAACCCTGTCGCATTTTTCGCAATAATAAAAACATAGCAATAATTTCTGAATTTACAGTATCAAACTAATTAAGATACTACATAAATTGTCTCAACGTGGGACAGGTAAATTAATATATGATGGGGTTAAACTTTTTTAGGGAAATCTTTACCCCTGTCAAACTGTTGACCAACATAACATATAAAAAAGAACATACAATCAAAATGGTAACAATCAAAATAGTAACAGACAAAGCACTTATTCCTTTAATTAAAGTATATTAGATACACAAACACAAAATGATAGACAATGTCGTACTGTATTAAAAAATGCTCACAGTTCCTGAAAACAGGCTCAAAGGACTTAACCTGCTAATGAGAAATTATGCCCAAATACACTCTAATATCAGTTGTGTACTTCTTAAAAGATTTCTTACAAGAACTACTTAAACAGTTCAGTATGACATGATAGTGTTTTTAATGTCCAGAACAAACTATACAAAAGAAAACAAAAGAGAAGAGAAAAACAAAAGAAACATTGTATCCTTGCTTCATGTCTTAAATAGTAATTCTGAAAAGGGAGATAATTGTCACTACTGAATCTGTTACAGTTATTCGTATCAAAGATAAATTTTATCGTACTTCAACAGCATCATCAATTATTTTTATTGATTAAAATCAATCATAAATCCTTTATTTGAAATGTTTATCAATCTCACTGTTGATTTTCTTAAATCTTCAACAATTCCAAAGACCCATCTTATTACCTTATTTTAGGTATTCGAAGGATTCAATGAAGGCCAGTTGAACTTTGCTCCTACATACAAGTATGACCTGTTCTGTGATGATTATGACACTAGTGATAAATGTCGAACACCAGCTTGGACAGACAGAGTGCTCTGGAGACGAAATATTTGGTGGAAAAAAGGTCAAAACTGTAAGTTATCAACACTTTTTAAAATGAAGTGCTTACTGTAAACACTTAGAAAGATAAGAAAATTTTAACTGAAATTTATGGTTATTTGTGCTGACATAATAATATTCTGTTTGTGATAAAGAATACAAAAAAAGTCATTGAGGAAGTATCAATAATAAATTTGATGGACAATATTAGGTTAAAAAAGATAAATTTTATTTCTATATTTAAATGATGCTTGCTTGAAGAAAAGGGTACTTGTCTAAGTACAGGGTTTGCAAACCATGATATATAAAGAAATATAAAATATGACCAATCTTTTTTTTTTCAGTATTGGAAAAAGAAGATCCATATGAAAATGGTCATCTTGTTCTTTATAACAGATCAGAACTGAAGACATCAGATCATAGGTAAGCGCCATAAAAAAACTTCAAGTCATAGGTTAGTTTCTTTTTAGAACCTATCAAAAAGGAGAAAAAAACTCCATCTTATGTAGAATTATTATCAGTAAATATAGATTTTTTTCTAGACTTAGTTTTGAATTAACAGTTTCAGTGTTAGCTCATAACAAATTAATAGAAATTATATATATTATGAAATATTAAAATCATGGATTTAATTAACCTCAAAATTCATGAAATTTGTCAAACCAGGAAGAGTCAGTTTTCTTCTTAGAAAGAATTGAATTTTTTTAAAGAAAATATTAATTTCCATATGGGTATGATTCAAGGGAGATTTCATACACTTCTGAAAAATCAATGTGTGAAAGCATTTGAGATTTTTTATTAATTTTATCCCAGCTCCCAGATTCCACATTTATTCAAGTTTTATTTGAAAATTAAAAATGAAATTAGAAAATTATTAAAAGTAATACAGTTTGAGAACTGTTTTTCTCCTTGAATTTTTAAAAGTTCACCAATTTTTTTTGAAAATATATTATGTGAATCTTCAACAACCAACAGAAATTAGAGATAGATATATGCGATTCTTATGTTAGAATAAAATTATAATGCCAGTTTAAATTATGTGCTCCTCAATTTATTGTTCGTAAAAATATAAGATTTATTTCTAAGTACTTCTCTGATGATCCACCAAACTTTGCAAAAACAGAGTGGTAACTCTTTCTGATGTCATCATACTAAACCCACCCCCTAAAAAAAAAAAAAATAAAAATAAAAAAAAAGACTTAAACATCAGAATTAAAGTTCAACTGATAAAGTTTTAAAAAAATTCAAGCTTGTGTATTGAATTGAAAAAATAAAAACAACTGTTGGTGTAATTTTCTAGGGAATAATTATAGATATAGTGTGTTTGACGTGGAATAATTTTATAATATAGTTGTTATTTTTTTTTATAGACCTGTCGTTGCTGTAATAGACATTGATATACAAGAAGTGATTGACAATAAGAAACAGGACGTTCTTGATGAAGTTATCGGTCAACAAGGACCATCAGATTGCACTGCAGTTGTTTCACTCACAGAAGGAGAGTTTGATGATGATACTGTAGACAGTATTGTAGGAACTTTAACTGATGTAGGGGAGATAAGTCTGGTCAGGTAATACAGAAGCTGAGGGGTTTGGTAATGCATCTGAGCTTTTACAGGAACCTTTTTTTTTTACATTAAAAAATGTTCAGTGTTGTTTTTCTTGTTTCATCTATTAAAAGTATTTACAAATTTTGAGTGATTCCAGTAATGCTTTATTGGCTTCCAGAAACATTGTTATTGTGATGATGAAGCAGCTAGTAAAATTGGCATCAACTGAAATTTTCTACCCACAGTTTAATGAAGCCTGCAATCTACAAAGTTTTACTATATTGATATGTTACTTCTTTTGTTATACTGCACTGACTATAGAAGTGATATTTTATTGAAATCTCCTCGTTGTCCATTCATTTCCAACAAAAAATTTTCCTCACACTTTCCTCAGGTGCTACTTAGGAGCCTTGGTGGCCAAGTGGTCTAATAAGTCAAACTACTGTTATCACTAGCCTGTCAAACATTGAGGTTGTGAGTTCGAATCCTGTATGTGGCAGGTGCGTTCCATTTCAATCTTAATTGATGATGATTGTTAGTTTTCCTACCGAAGGTCGTGGTTCTCCTCGGGCACTCAATGTAGTTATAATATTGAGTAGGGCCTATATTTGTATAGCATCAACATGTTGTTAACTTTAGTATGGTTGAAAGTTTACCCATACAAAAAAACTAATTCATAACTTTCTGAAAAGAAATTTATTTTCAATTTTAATAGTTTTATAAGTTGATGGTTGAACTGATTTATATTGTGAGAAACATATTAATTGTTTGACACACTCATGTTTTTTATGTAGGTTTGTTGATGAAGATATGTGGTTGATATTTACGAATGGAAAACATGCTATAGATGCTTTACAGTACAACAATACAGAGGTATGGTTTTCTTACTATAAATCTCATATATTTAATTTTATTTAATAATCTATACTTGAAAAAAGTAAGAACTTATGTAAATATGTGGTATATTGATATTATAGCCAAATGTCTGTAGTTGTGTATGTAATTTTCAATGCTTTATTGGGTAAATATAATGTAAAATACTTAAAATTAAAATTACAGTTAGTTACAAACAAAATCATAATTTTCAGTATCCCAATTAAAAGATCAGATAAAAAATTAAGGAAGTCTGAGCAGACTGATATTTTAAAATGGAAATGACTTAGAAAGAATAACAAAATCTGGTTCTGTGATCAATTTTTCTGGCAACAAATCTGATTATTTTATGCGGTATTTACAAGATCTATTATCAAACAAACTAAACTAAAATTATTTTCTGTCAATGGACATATTTATGATATTTAAATGGTTTACATAAAATAAACAAAAATTATAATAAGGTTTGCTATTCCTTACTGTTTTGCAATTATACCTCTAGAACAGAGTTGATTTAAGTATTAAACAAATCTGGCACAGTTTTTTTGGTAAGGCCTGTGTTTCTGCAAACCTGATGGACCCTAATGTTTAATGTGGCTACCTGAAAGACTTTTTTGTCATTGTTGAAAAGGCACTATTAAGGCAAGACTTTCCCCAGTTGAAACCATTTAAAAACTTTTTGAAAATAACATTATCTGCTTGCCTACTTTTTAGCTCACCTGGCCCGAAGGGCCAAGTGAACTTTTCTCATCACTTGGCGTCCGGCGTCGTTTGTCGTCGTTAACTTTTTACATTTTGAACTTCTTCTAGAGAACCACTGAATGGAATGAAACCAAACATGGCATGAATGTTCCTTTTGAGGTGCTGACCAAGTGTTGTTACTTTGTAGCCGATCCAAGATGGCCGCCAGCGGGGGACTTAGTTTAACATAGGACCCTATGGGAAATGCATACAAATGACTTGTTTTAGAGAACCACTGAATGGAATGAAACCAAACATGGCATGAATGTTCCTTATGAGGTGCTGACCATGTGTTGTTACTTTGTAGCCGATCCATCATCCAAGATGGCCGCCAGCGGGGGACTTAGTTTCACATAGGACCCTACAGGAAATACATAAAAATGTCTTCTTTTAGAGAACCAATAATTGGAATGGAACCAAACATAGCATGCATGTTCCTTATGAGATGCTGACCAAGTGTTGTTACTTTGCAGTTGGTCCATCATCCAAGATGGCCGCCAGCAGGGGACTTGGTTTAACATAGGACCCTATGGGAAATACATACAAATGTCTTCTTTTAGAGAACCACTGAATGGAATGAAACAAAACATGGCATGAATGTTCCTTATAAGGTGCTGACCAAGTGTTGTATCTTTGCAGTCGGTCCATCATCCAAGATAGCCGCCAGTGGGGGACTTAGTTTAACATAGGACCCTATGAGAAATACATACAAATGTCTTCTCTTAGAGAACCAGTGAATGGAATGGAACCAAACATGGCATGAATGTTCCTTATGAGATGCTGACCAAGTGTTGTTACTTTGCAGTCGGTCCATCATCCAAGATGGCCGCCAGCGGGGGACTTAGTTTAACATAGGACCCTATGGGAAATACATACCAATGTCTTCTGTTAGAGAACCAATAATTGGAATAGAACCAAACATGGCATGAAGGTGCCTTATGAGGTGCTGACCAAGTGTTGTTACTTTGCAGTCGGTCCATCATCCAAGATGGCCGACAGCGGGGGACTTAGTTTAACATAGGACCCTATGGGAAATACATACAAATGTCTTCTTTTAGAAAACCACTGAATGGAATGGAACCAAACATGGCATGAATGTTCCTTATGAGGTGCTGACCAAGTGTTGTTACTTTGCAGCTGATCCATCATCCAAGATGGCCGCTAGGGGGGGGAGGCTTAGTTTAACATAGGACCCTATGGGAAATACATACAAATGTCTTCTTTTAGAGTACCACTGAATGGAATGAAACCAAACATGGCATGAATGTTCCTTATGAGGTGCTGACCAAGTGTTGCTACTTTGTTGCCGATTTACTGTTCAAGATGGCCACCAGGATATTTTATTTAATAATGGGACCAATATTAAACCAAATTTGGCCTAAATCTTTATTTGGGTATCTGTTATGATTTTTATCTATCTTTATATGATTTTTAAAACCAAAGTAGAGTCAGGTGAGCAACACAGGCTCTTGAGAGACTCTAGTTTATTAGCATATTAGTAGAAACACGGGTATTATTTTTTATGGACCTAATTTCAAAATGTAGGCTATTTTATAAGTGCAGTTATCAATTTCCTTGCAAAAATTGGTAACCTTAATCTACATTAGACACTTCTTGTATAATTATGAATGCTCACATTAATTAATTAGAATAAGAATTAAATCATGTTGACCAACATTTTGTGCAGGAGTGACCTTTGTAAATTTTTTATTGGGGTTTCCATCTGCACTGATATAAACAATAAACATTTCCATGATTTAACTTATTGAAAATATTAAAAATCATTTAAAATAGAAATGGCTAACAAGATTATCTGTTACCTGTACTGCTCAATTTCATTTTTACTTTTCTTCATAGCATTGATAATTTGAAACTTTTAACAATTTCTATGGGATAAAGCCTTTATAGAAAGGTTTATTCAATAAAAGAGAAACTGAATTACAGATGAATGGCAGAAAAGTCCAAGTAAAGTTAAAGACTGTAGACTGGAAACAGAAGATAGATAAAGAGATGAAATTGTGTACAATGAACACTGGGGCCCTGTTTAACAACATCAGCAACAGCTTACTTGGAGAAGATTTCACAGGATTGTATGACTTTGATTCTGATGGTATGCCTCAGTTGTTGTAGATGTGTGATTCTCAGATTAATTTAGATCTTTAGTGATCAGGTTTGATGTAGTCTTAAACTTAATCTTATTTTCATGAATTAGTGTTAAGTTTTTGTGATACCATCAGTACGACCTTGATCTCAAGGACTTTCAAAATAAAATTTAGTTATAAATAGTAAAGCTGGCAAAACATTTTAGGATGTCCACTCTTATTTTTATTCCCTTTTCTATCATAATTATAACTTTGTTTAATATTTGTAGAAGATGAAGATGACCAGACAGACAGATTAACAGTATCAGAAAATAACACGCCAATACATTCAGGTATACATACGTCTTTTTATTGCATCTGTTTAATTAAGTACATTGTGACACAAATTGATCTGGCATATGGAAACATAAGTGAATGATATTTGAACAAGAATATGTTTCCATAAGACACCATTCCCCTCTGCACTATCATTTTCCTTGTTCAGTTAACTGTGAAACTGTAATTTGGCATATAATTTTATAGTTCAATACTTCATGGTAAACTTCCTTAACATAAAACTTGGAATTTCTGGTTCCACACTATCACATTTCTAGGTTTAGTGAACTGTCAGTTGGTTTAAAAAATGTAATTTTGCATATTATACTGTAAATTCAGAAATTATTATTGCGATTTTTGAAGAATTAACAAAAATGCGAGTTTAATTATTGCGATTTTAGGAAAAGCTTCATACAGATATATGTAATTAATATCAGAATGCGAGTTCTTATTATTTCGATATTCAAGTAGTCGCATTATTCTCATTAATAAAAACCTCGCAATAATTTCTGAATTTGCAGTAATTTTAAAAGTTCACATCATAATGAACATGTGTACTTAGTTTCAAGTTGATATGAGTGGAACTTCATGGTAAACTACCTTTACCAAATACTTAAACCTGATACTGGGTGGACGAATGAATAGATAAGAAACCAACAAGAAAACACATTTCCCCACTACTATTGGAGACAGGGCAGACAAAGAAATTTTATTATTCCTAGTTAAGTTGCTTAAACAGGACTGCCAAAGCAATATAAATTCGATCTCAAGAAATTATTAATTGTTGTAGGAAAATCCAAAAATTGACTTTATACTAGTTTTCTTGGGTTTTCAATTTAGTTTAATGACGACATGAAGGAATAAATAAATATGTATTTCAGGAAGAAACAGTCCAGCTCTCTCAGATGATGGTATACTGGATGGGGCTCCTCCCCCACCAAGCAGACCTGCACCTCCTGCTAGACCAAATGTAAACCCTGTCGCATCAGAGGATACTGGGCCAAAAGAGGTAAATATCATATCTGTTTAGAATCAAATATTCATGGGTAATTTTCCGATTAGAAGTGTCAGTTGTCAATTTTAAATGTATTGTTGTGTTAATATCCATGAAATATTTGATAATCACTTCAGCAATTTTTGTGATTTTACTTTTTTCTAGTATTACTCTTTTCACTTTCAAAGCATTATGATAAATGTATGACATCACATATGCTCTAAAAACAGATTGAGATGTGGATGAAATTATCATTGCCATAATTTTTCATGCAATTATTTGAATTATTGATACCTCCAAGAATAAGCTTGTATCATTCTGAGATATTATTTGATGCTTTAGTAAAATTATATTGTTTTAAATAGATCATAAATTTATCTTTTTAGGTTCAAGTCAAACAACCTCCACAGAGACCAGCTCCTCCTGTGAAGCCCCCTCCTCCACAAAGACCAACTGGGGGTCCTATTAAACCAATACAACAAAGCACAGGTATACTGTTCCACTTCAACAGTTTGTGACTTTTTATGCAAATATTATATAAGTCAAATTTAATTCTTTCAGTCGGTTAAGTATATAAAAATTTGAATTGTACAAAAATATGAAAACAGGGTTGTCTTGATGAAAGTTTCAGTCTGGTTCCTAGTTTGTCATCCAAATTATAATAAAGTCCTGTTTGTTTATATAATATAAGATATACATTATTTAATCTGTTTTCTATTTAATTAAGGAGAAAAGTTTTTTAATGAGGCCCCTCATGGGGATGTCCAAGTAATCACATAATCATAAATTTTTTGCCAATATAATCACATAATCATTAATTATTTTTTAAACAAGATAATCAAATAATCAAAAATACAGTCCTAGATTATCAAATAATCATGAAATATTTGGTCTGGTAATCAAATAATCACTATGAAAACGGCCAAGTAATCACATAATCAAAAACCCCATGAGGAGGCTCTTTAATCAACAGAAAATTCCTAGATAAAATAAATATTAAAATGTAACTGAGCTAATATATATACATAGAATGTGTATCTTCTGAAGGGTAAAACTGCATATTCCATCTAAAGTAAAAAGAAATAATATGGCATCAAAGGAAATAAAGTTCTTAAAAATTACAAATGACTTTTTTATTCTTGCAGTTGCACCTTTGAAGAAGATGCCACCAGTCAGAAAGCCATTGGGATCACAATCAATTAAAAACATCAAATCAAAAAAACAAGCAAAGGCAAGAAAATATTATCTTCATATATTTTGAAAAAGATATGGTCATGTCTTGTTTTGGTAAAACTAAGCTGTTTATTACTCACAATATCATTTATTCAAGCTATACAAACTGAAAAGAAACATTTCAGAATAAAAAAAAATAGGCCTGTTGCCTATCAAAGGCTTTTATTTTTACTGTTTAAGGCAGATACTACACGAATCAGCAATTACTTATTGTATCACCTAGCTGGGGCAACACATAGGAATCATTGTATCATCTTGTATTGTTGTCTGCATCACCCAAGTCACATTTCGTTAATCCCCAATAAATGGCTTTCAGAATCAACCAGACTTACACAGATTCTTTTATAGGACATGAAGTTATACACCTGCTATTTTAAGTTTTGATCTGAGTAATTTCTATGGTTTCTCCAAACAAAACATTGACTCATCCATTTCTGCTTGTATTATTTAGATAAGGCAAGTCAATGCAGTAAAATAAAAAGTGACAGACATGTTACTTCCGGTGTCAGTAATATATAATAATGTAATTAGGTCAGTTAAAGGGGAACCACTAGTGGTAGATCAGTGATATTTGGTATTCAGATGTATTAGCATTGGAACATCTCATTTCCATGGAGACCATTTTGCCTAACCCCTCAGTCATAGTCTGACTTGTAAACTTTTGGCTAGTTAACATGTTAAAGTTTGTGATTTATTCAGTTAAAGATGATCCACTAATAGTAAGTCAATGATGTTTGGTATGCAAATGTATTGGCATTTGCAAGTCTCATTTCCATGAAGATAATGTGTCCCCACTCCATCATCATGGTTCATTGACTTTGAAACTTTTGCTTACTCTGCATTTTTAGTTATTATTTAATATTTGTTTTTATTTCCATTTTAATTTCAACATTTGAATTATACAATCAAAATAACGCAAAGGCAAGACATATCTCTGTATCAACAGTTTATTTATTTTATTTTGCTTATTTTTTAGCAAAGATAAAGATAACAATAAACAACAGTATGTCTTCATCTAATCATGCAAGTTAATTTGTCCCTTTTAATTTTTCTATGGTTTTATGGAGATAAGGTTAGTAGTATCAGTCAGAGGATAAATTATGTAAAAGAAGTTTTTTTTTTAAATCTTTATAGATCTCATCAATTGGACTGCCTACAAATGTTTTACATCATGGACATGCAGCAAGCATGCAGGAAGCTCAGAATGTTATTGAGAAATTGATTAGAGGTGAAAGTGTAGATGCTTCCTTACCCCAACCATTACTGCCAAATAATGGTAGGTATTATTCAGGAAATTGAATTGAATCTGGAGGCTATTATCACCACTTAGCCTGTGAATCCTAGGTTTCTAAGCACTACTGAAAAGGAAATAATATCAAATATCTACAGTGCCTCCTTAGCTTTGGGCTCATTATGTCAGATTGTATACGTTATGATTCCAGCTTTATCTTTACTCTCTATCATCAGACAGTTGTAAAATTTGATTGGTCAATATTGTATCATAGATATTGATAAAAACCTGAGAATCGCAATTATTAAATCTCACCCAAATCATTCTTGGTATGCTTTAATAGAAAGTTGCTAATCTCAGATTCTTATTAAGGCTCCACCAACAAGTCAGCAGTACCCTCTAGTAATCTGTCTCTCTTTCTGCACTGCCATGTCCTTCCATAAGTCAAAATCAACTCAACTTATTTTTATAATTTTAATGCTAGTGTTTATAAGAGATGTGTAAAAAAAAACCTAAATGGGACCCAAGAAAGGCACTTTGAAATCTCCACTATGGGAGGTTGTCAAGTACAATGAAATTAGTGCCTTCTATGACAGAACAGCCCTAACTATAAAAGGATGTTAATTGAAATGTGATTTATACAGGTAGTATGCAATTTTCTTTATTATTGGCCAATAAGGTCCCAAAATTGAACATTCTTTTGCTGCAAACTCTTCAAGATGTGAAATATCTGAACTTATTTTTAGAAATTCCAATAATATTTTTGAGTCCATAAGAAACACCAGTCAACATGAAAAAAAATAAAGTTTAATTTTCATGTGATGTCCTTCTGCCTTAAATATTCAATTAATTTTTTGGGATATATTTTTGATACATCAGCTTGTTAAATCAAACGGGATATCTAGACCGACTATTACATATTATAGATTATTCCATTTATTCACGAACAGAACTATGAAATATATTCTTCAATTAAGTTTTCAAATTGTATGAAATTTTAATATTTATACAAATCTGTTTTAGATGAACTGCTTACTCCTTCTCAGATGCCTCAGAGTAGAACTGCAGAAACTTTGTCATCAGTTGCAGAATCAGCTAATGAAGGAGTTAATGTTCCTAAACCCATACCAAGAGCAAGAAGTACAGGGAATATTTCAGGGACTGTCAATCCTGTTCCTGCACCTCGATCACGTGATAGTCCTACTGAAGATAGAAAACCTATCCCCAGATTAAGAGATAGTCCGACTGATGATTCAAATATACCTGCATCTCGACCAAGACCTGCACCAAGAAGAGAAGTACAAAGTGCTTTTGTACCATCCCATGTTACAAACTTAAATGACATTCATTCAGGTCAAGTCATGTCAGTTTTGAACCAGAAAGAACAGGATATATCTAGTCAACCAAATTCTAATATTTTAGATGCACCAATATCACCTTTATCTAAACCAAAGGCTGATCCATTTGATACAAGCAATATAAATGCAAAGTTTATAAACCCTGTATTCAATATACCAGCGTCAAACTATGTAGATAATTCTAGTCAGCCAAATGGAAATGTTGAAATGAGGTATTCAAGTTTTCCAGAACCAAATTTTAGTCCTCCAAGTATTCCCCCTCCTGCACCTGAATCTCCACCCCCATCACCACCAGTAACACATAAATCTTCAGAGGACCTTAATGAATCACCTAGGCTTAATGATCAAAATCCACCTTCTCATCCACCACCAAACTTGCCCCCTCCACCTCCCCCACGTCCTGTAGATGGACCTCCAACAAACCTTCCTCCTGTTCCCTCTAGACCTGCTGTCCCATCTCGACCACCATCTAGTATTCCAAATAATCTTCCTCCTGTCCCAAGTAGAAATTTACCTCCAGTACCACCTAGGAATTGAATTAATATAAAACTGTATAATGCAGTATATCTGGTATTTTTCCTGTAAATATAGCTGTAGTTGTTCTGCGTGACATAATCAAAAACTGCAAGATGAATATTTTCACAGATGCTTAAAAATACATCTATTGCACTATGTGTATTTAGAAAGTAGTTGTTTTGTGATTTTGTTTGATATAGAATCAACTACACAGCATTTCAACAAAATCTGTTACTTTATCGGGTTTATAAACATTATCTATCTTTGCATGGCAACTATAATGTGTTTTGACAAGAATAATACCAACCGTACCGTATGTTAAAAAGCAATAAATCTAAGTATTATACATATGATTTCATAAGGAAAGGTTGTATCTCCTTTTATTATTATTTATCAATTGTATGCAAATTTACATGGTTTATGTGGGAATTGTTATTACATTTTATCGTATATTCAATTGAATCAGATTGAATTTATTTTTGCACATGACCATAAATTTTAAGATTTACAAAAGGTCAGTAAGATATGTTAATTATTTGTTCTTTTATTGTGATTCCTGTACTTTTAGTGCCAAAGAAGTGTTTTCAGTTATTTTTACTTCAACAACGACATGTTCATTTTCAGGATTAATTTTTCTAGAAATTTCAAAAATTAAAAATAATAAATAATGTTTCTTCGATCGACGTACCAGGTCTAAGCGGGAACAGTTTTTTTCAGTTCATCCAAAAACCATCTGATGTTCATTGCTCAATTTAACATCTTAGGCCTAGAATGTGTTCATCAAGTCGCTTGACGATTAGTGAAAGCATTTATAAAGTCATTTCCAAGGCTTCTGATGGATGTTTGTCTCGTTGGTATTTATACTACATCTCCTTATTTTGTATTGAACAACAAATTACAGAATTACAATTTATATTCCATAAAAAAAATCGTTATGGAATATGATACAGTATGTGGTAAATAAAAACAAATGTACTTTAAAGGATAATTATTTAGAAATGAGTTATTTTAACTGCCAGATTTCTTTGAAACATCTAACAAAAAAAATCATACAATATATTGATTGAATGAAGATTTTTTTTTATAAAAACCATTCTTATTTTTTTTATTCCCAAAAAATGAGAAATTAAATTATCAATTATTGCACATATATATCTAATAACAAGTATTGGATCATTTTCAAACATGCAAGTTCTATTTGGTTTTTTAAAATGCAATTATTTTTTTTATTAACACCCACTTTTGAAATTGCATATTCCACTCATCCTTGCGTTACCAAAGTAGTTTTCTCATGAAATATCTACTCTTTAATTAATACATTACATTAGACGTGAACAAAATTGACCAATAGTTTGTGATTCGCCTTTTATACTCAATCCATGTACTGCACTATTTATACTCAATTTCTTTTACCAAACTTAGAATTTGATGCTATTTACACTTATGTGTTTGTAAGTTTAAAAGTAAAGATGTACATGTATAATGATTTTTTTTATCACCAGTTCTACACATGTTTAAGTGATAGGTGTAATACCACCAAATCATAGTACGTCACATTATAAACATATATCTTGGGTGTTTCAAAGCACCATTATTTTTTTTATTTGTTGTTTTTATAGAATATTTTGGAAACTTGATGTTACATGGTTAATAAAGCTTGTACACAGGAAAAAAAGGGGTGAAAATTTGATTGGTTAACTTCCAGTGATGGTTATTTTCTTATATGCAATGAAATATTATGTGAAATTTTGTCTATAGTACTGGACAGGATAAAACTTTACTCATGCCAAGTATTTCTTTATTTGAAACAAAGATAAATTCTGCACAATATTTTGAAAAGTGCAAATTTAACAAAGACTAATAGGGGAAAAACAATGGTGGTATTACACCTTATACTCATTTTTGTTTCCTATTAGTCAATAAACATTAATACAAGAAAGCAAAGATATGTATTATGATAAAACTATCTGGATTAAAATATTTTTTTTGTAAGGATTGGGTTCAATGAATTTTGTGTGTTTCATTTTGTAGGATTTGTTTTACTTTGCACTAACTATCAGTTTTTCTTATGGCTTTAAAAAACTGTGTTAATGTTATTTCTATAGTACTGCCAGAGTCATATAATACAATGTATTACATCAATTTAGGTTGGAGGTAGAATCAATACTTTGTCTTTAGAAATGTTAAGAAGAATTGCAAAAGGCAATTCAGTTGATATGAAAATTATAACACACAAAGCCCAGCCAATGCATTAAAATTTGAATATCTGCTTGAATTTCAATACGTCAAAGTTGCAAATAATCACTTTCTGGCTTTCATATTCTATCAGTCATTCAATTTTTAGAATTAAATAGAAAATTACTGTCAGCAAGTATTCCAAAACAATGCATTTATTTATTATATTAACAGCAACTGTACAATAAAATGTTTCAAATATTTGTCCAGTTAACTGTTCAATATTATGAGTTGAGATTTGACACAAAATTGCATAAAAAAATATTGAATTCATTGTACATTTTAGTTTAGAAGTATGTTTGTATACATACAGGTAAATTTAATTTATTGTTAATATTGCTATAAGCGTGCATAATGATAATTCTGTGCAATAAAATTATATTTACATTGTATATTTGATAAATAGTACATGTATATTTAGGGGGAATATTAGACATTTATGCATGAGAAAATAAATATTTCTTTGGTAGTTTGCCCCAGAGAAAGCATTAACGTTCACAGGCTCTCAAAGATTATCAGATACTTGATTTAGTTTTTATTTTTAAATATACAATATGAGATTTGATTTTTTAGAGAAGAAAAAAAAAAGACAACCATGACTACATATAAAGCAAAATGGCTTTAAATACCATGAAAAAGATACAAAACATTGTGTTACTATTTGCTTAGTTTCTTCTGTTTGTTATGGTATACATTCCAAGTTAGATCACGCTAGGTCATTGTTGCTGTATTGCTGTTGTTACATATTTGATATACATTTTAAGAATAAACTGTGATATGTGTTATTGTTTTCTTTGTGTTTTTTTGTTAATATTATTCTGTGTCTGATTCTCTTCAAGTTAAGTCAACAGTTTTTATGGTCCTCAGAAGCCAGTCTGAAATTATCTACAGTAAAAACATACATTTATGCTGCTCTATGCTTTAGAGTATTTGGTGTAATTGTTCAATTTTTCTTGTGACAATTTACTGCAAAAGTTCAATCCAGCTATGTTTTATCAGATTTTAGCATCAGGTAATTCTAATTGTTATCCTTTGTGATCAAGAACCCCTTAAGAATGTCTTCACATAGATGAAAAAAAGAGTGCACATGCTGAATTGTCTTGCCTACTTTACTTATCATCAGATTTTATGTTGAAAGTGTTACATTATCAATTATCAATGTAAATGAGGTCAAGGTCAGATGAACCCTGCCAGACAGACACGAACACCTTACAATATTGCTATACACCAAATATATGTATATTGCTTATACATTTGTAGTATCTGAGAAACAGACCTAGTTATGAAAATTGAACTTTGACCAATGAACCATAAAAAGGAGGTCAAGGTCAGATGAATCCTGTCAGACAATATGTTCACCATGCAAACATTCCATACACCAAATATAGTTTACCTTTTACTTATAGTAACTGAGACACAAACGTAACTTTGACTAATGAACTATGAAAATGTCATGGTCAGATGAACCCTGCCAGAAAAACATGTACATCTTACAATCATTCTGTACACCTAATATAGTGGCCATATTGCTTATAGTACCGGAGAAATAGACCATACCACAAAAATTTCACATTGTTCAATGAACCATGAAAATGAGGTCAAGTTCAGATGATCCTAGGTGTAATGGACATATAGCACATCCTAATTTTTTCAGAGATATTGTTAACCAAGCCCACAAATTTAGATACGATCCGGGAAAACTTTAAATAAATTTATTCTAAAAGGTTACCAATTCAACACTATAATTAGATCTTTGAATATTGTTTTTATTGGTATTAATATTGATATTGTTATCAGTAAATTAAAATCAGACTAAATATCATTTTATATACATATGCACATTCATGGCTCTACAATCTGTCGATACCTGTATCTTGGCATTGCACAAGGTCATGTTTTTCTTCGACTGTTACGCTAAATCCATTGGACATTGGATGTGAACTGATTGATACTTTAGTCTTAGATGCATGATTTGTTTAATTAGTTGTTATTGGCTTTAAACTAGCTGTCAGTAACTGCGAGTACTCTCAGATCTGTACTTAGTGTCTTTTTGTTGTGGGGATGTATAAGTACCCTGCCACGTCCACTCTGTGTTTTTGTTAAGATTTATTTCTGCTTTGTATCCATCTGATGAGTGAAGCCCTTTTCAACTGATTTTTAAGCAGTTAAGCTGCTTTATGCGAGCACCCTAGATTTGTGTTCTACCCAATAAATGCTGAAATACGTGCCATTGTTATTATCTAGCTGGCTATTATGTTATTTATAACTAATTAAACACTTTTTTCATACTTTTAATTCTGGATTACAAAAAATATGAGCAGAAAAACCTTAAATGATCGTCGAACCACCCAAAAGTTTTGAAGTTGCACGTAGGAAGAAGTGCTCAATAGAAATCCTTATGAAGTTTATTATCCCCTGTGCATTTGGCTAAGATGTCAAAGAACAATTGTATGAATTATTTCATTACCGAAAATCTCTAATTACAAGTCGTTTACATTTGACAAATGGCAAAAAGCGCAGGAATATTGTATAACGGCTGGGACTAATATGACACGGAGTTGAAGTCTCAGTTGGCGGTAATTTTAACTTCGTCAACAAAACGTAAATCAAGGACGTTTTAAATTTGGTGGATTCTGATAATACAAGGGTAATTATTATTAATAATTTTATTTGAGATGAGTGTGATTTTTAAAATCATCTTAATTAAATGTATGCTCATTTGTATTCTTGTTAATATTATTCCGTTTATGTCGTAACTGATCTTCATGCTCGTCAAAACAAGTTGTTGTTATTTATGAATGAAATCAAACTAGAGATCTGATTGGTCGATGTCAAGGTCATTTCAAGATGGTTTCCTTTGTGTTTTTAATTCAGGCTTTGGTGCTACAGACTGCTACATGTGCTTTGATTTAGCTAAAGGTGCTTCAAACAATATTTAGATTAATACTTTATCAATTATTTGCTATAGGACGGCATTATTTAACTTCCAAAGTCGCATATTTTTGTAAAATATTAAGTACGAATTTGTGATGCGTCTCGCACCGTAATTGTTTTTGATTTACAATGATTTTTCATATTTCCGGTAAATGGAAAATATTCAAATTTTAAAGAAAATTTGGATTTTATTAGATAAATACTTACCATCATAAATTCTGAGTGTAACCCCAATTGCGTCATAGGTCAGATGGAAAATCCCAACTAAAAATAAACGTACTCTCACTGGTCCGGACATATACCCCTGTTTGCCTATATTCTCCCATTCAATTTCCTCAAGACAGAAACGTAAGGAAAGGGGATGAAGGGGAGGTGGGTGGACCTATAATTTATGATGGTAAGTATTTATCTAATAAAATCAAAATTTACTTTAAAATTTGAATATTTTATAGCTATAAATACGTTACCATCATAAATTCTGAGTAACAGAATCTAACGTAAAGCTGAATCCCCTGTAACAGAAGAAACAGGAGGAAAGTTCAATCTTTGTGCTGAAACTATAGGTCCAAGAGAGTATAAACTCTCGGCAAAAGTAGCCATGATTGAAGGTAATGAGATATAAAAGAGTTCTCATTTCTCCAGAAACCTGCAGACAGTACCTCTTCTAAAGATGCACTGTTAAACAGCGCCCAGGATGTAGAGATACCCCTAACATCATGAGCTTTAACATTAAAACTATTTAAAAGTTCTACCTTAGAAGAACCATAAGCTAAAGATATGCATTTGCATATCCAAGTAGAAATAGTTTTAACAGAAAGATCTGAGATTCCTTTTTTAATAGGAATAAAGAGTCTTGAGTTAGAAACAGAACGTAAACTACTCGTTCTATCCAGATAAATAGAAATGATTCTTACTGGACATAAAAGTACAGAAATAGAATCGCTAGGGAGTGCAGGAATCACGACTGGTTATGCACCCTTATCTGGAATCTGATTCTTTGCCAAAAAGCAGGATCCGTTAAAAGAGTAACAGAAGATTTATCCCTGTTAAATCGAAGGCAAGCATCAGAAATAGAGAAGGCATGGATTTCACTCCTTCTCCGTCCAGAAGCCAAAGCTAAAAGAAAACAGCATTTATAGGAAAGAAACCTTAAATCTATTGTTTCTGCTGGTTCAAAAGGAGGACGTTTTAAAAAGGATAAAACTAGTCCAAGGTCCCACTTAGGAACTCAAGTTTTTTGTCTTGGTCTTTCAAGACTAAAACTACGAACCAAAGGAGAAATATGCTCATTGTTTCCAAAATCTGGGCCACCAGAAATATGAATAGTTCTTGAAATAGCTGATCTATATCCCTTAATAGTAGAGGGACATAATCCTTTGGATTCAAAAAGAAAAACTAGAAAGTCTGCTAATTGTTGTACAGTGACTTGGACAGGATCAATTTCCCGCTCACTACACCAATCTGAGAAGATTGACCATTTTGCATCATAGACAATGCTAGTGACAGACTTTGTGAGATGCTTGGTTGCTCCTTCAGAAAAACCTCTCTTTCTGAGGCTTACCCTGAGAGAAGCCAGGCGTGTAGATGAAGTTTTTTCTGGATTTTGATAAAGAACCTTGCCCTTGATTTGAGACAGACGGTCTGGTCTCAGAGGTAGAACTAGAGGAAAAGCACATGATAGGCGCAGAAGGTCTGGAAACCAAGACTGTTTCGGCCATGCTGGAGCAATAACTATGATCTTGCAATTTTCCCCTGCTATTTTCTGAAGTACTGGGGAGAGAAACCTGAAAGGAGGGAAGGCGTACCCGAACATTCCTTTCCAAGATAGGCTCATTGCGTCTACCGCAAAAGATTTTGGATCTGGAACCGGAGACACAAATGTAAGAAGTTTGTGATTGAGACTGGTCGCAAACAGATCTATCTGAGGTGACCCCCAATGAAGAGTCACAGCTTTGAAAACTACTTGAAGTAGTTCCCACTCCGTGTTTACTGGAGCAAGGGATCTGGATAGAGTGTCGGCTAGAATATTGAGGTGCCCCGCAATATGTCTCACCACTAGATAAACCTGGAGTTGAAAACACAGAAGGAGAATGTCTCTGGCTATCTGATAAAGAGAAGGTGAATGAGTTCCTCCCTGATTCTTGAGATAAGCTACAACTGTTGTGTTGTCCGTGGCCAGAATGACAGACTGATTCTTTAGAGACATTTGGAAATGATTTAGTGCAAACAAAACTGCTTTAATTCATTTCCAATACATTGATATGCTCTTCCAAAAGATCTGGATTCCAGACTCCCGAGATTGTAAGCCCCTCCAGATATGCTCCCCAACCGAGGGTGGAGGCATCTGTGAATAATGTTAGACTGGGAACTTGAGGGGACAGACATAGGCCCCTCATTACATTTTCCCGTACTAATCACCATTGAAGATGTGGAAATAAAGGCTGAGTGATTGGAATCAATGCTTCCCATTCTTGTGAAGCTGGAATCCATAACTTGTGCAGATAAAACTGAAGCGGACGAATGTGAAGTCGTCCCAATGGAATTACATCTGCCAGAGAGTTCAATAGACCCAGAATTTGCAAGAATTGACGTGCTGTGACTGATTGAACCGTCAGGAATAAATGTATTTTCTGACATAGTTTTGTAAATTTTTCCTCTGGTGGGAGGACTAGGCCTACATTGGTTAGGAAATGTTCTCCCAGGAAAACAAAGTCTTGGAAGGAATTATCTCTGACTTTTTCCAAGAGATTAGGAAGCCTAGGGACAGAAAACAATTGATGACCAAATCTGTCTGAACCCTCAATTTGATTGGGCAAAATTCCTTGAGAAGGGAATCGTCCAGGTAGGAATG